GGGCTCGGCCCTGCTGAGCCGAACTGCCCGCCGGCCCATCGGACCTTCAGCAGAATATATCATCCTGGTTGAACTTGTAAAATTCACTGATCCAGAGAGAGCAGGCAAAGGTAATTGAGAGCGGGTAGTTTGTGGAACAGAGGGTGTTTATTGGCACTGATGAGTGAATAGCAACTACGCCGAAAAAGGGAATGACTCTCAAGCCAAAATGCCTTCCGTTTTTCTTAGATTTTCTTTTACTTTAGGGATAAGTAGTAAGCTGCGGAACCAGATTGAAAGCCTTGAACTTTCAAAATTCCTAACTCTTCAGAAGCTTGCAGCTCGGAAGCAAAGCTTTTTATCTTCTGATCTCGGAACAGTCCAGAGAAGACCACCCTGCTTTTCAAAATTAAAAGAAGTTTAAGCATCCGCTCCTACATCTTGTTAACAAAACTCAACCACCTCCAGCCTCTAAGATTAGTGCTCGTCCACGACCAGCCGGTGCCAAAACTATGCCGATGAGCAACTGTACCTTGAAGAGGGTGCTCACTGGCCGTCACATCTGTTGTGTCTGCTTCGTATCACGAGCTGGATCCAGTTGTTGGTAATCTCTAGATGAGAAGGGACAGAGAAATGTACGACTGGGCATGGAGCGAGTAGATAACAGGCCTATGTGATCTACAACGGATCTAAAAACCGGAATGAAGTGACTTGTTGATGTCAATGCTCAAGAAAGGATAGAAGATGATGCGGGCCGAATTTAGGGGCACACCATTCCTGCAAGTTGACTGTTTTTAATGTTTCCCTGATTTAGTTTCAATCCACTTCCGTCCTGGAGCTCATAGGCTGTGCTAGGAGTGAGAGAAACGCGATTATGTAAAGTCCAAGGGGAAACAGAGAAGGAACGTGCAAGTGGCAGAAGGGATATAGATGTATAAGATATTGGTAAGGTAATATACGGTGGGTGGACCATCAGGACCACCCGTACGAAGAAGAGGAAGCAATTAGGCGTGCCAATGCTGTGATTAAGTTGGAGTGAAGAAGTTTTAGTAGTAGTCTTACAATAATAGAACATATCTAACATACGGGATCAATAACATTTGAAGGTTTGAGTTTTATGCTGTCCCTCTACCAACTAACCATTCTGAAGGAGATGTACTAAGCTTTTCGGCGCTCCATCATCAATGTTGTGTTAAATCGCAATCTCAGACTTTCTTGCTCCTTCGGCAGCGCAGCGCAGCGAAAATAGGAAAAATTAATAGGACCATAACAAGGTCATGTGAAAAACTGCTCTTACTTTCCTTAAACAATAATGTTAGAAAGGCGCTGAATGGAAAAGTGCCCGGAACGCACAAGCACAGGTTCGAATCCCGTCCGAGGACGACGTTTTGCCCACAAATCGCCATCCTTGTGTGACTGGAAAGGATCTTGGCAGCATCGCAGCTTTGCCGAAATATGGGCAAACCTCGATTTTGGACGGATATCGAGAGTGCGATGCTAGGGAACTGAAACCACGGATTAGAGTCCAGTTTGTAGGTGGAATGAAGTACCCCATGCTCGCCTTGATATCAACAAAACTTCGACCCCAGAAGGACGTCAATAGGCGGTGCTAGGAAACTGAATGCGCTGGAATGAATCCCATTCGGAGGTGGGAAGAAAGTTCTACAGATAACTCAGCAACCTTGCAATTAGTTTCGCATTGGCCTGTCAGTTCAGGCTTTTGATATGCTTTGTAAACTTCTCTGGAAAAAGTTGTAAGTGAAAAGTTCAGTTCAACGGACGTAGTCCTGTGGAGCATCGATCCGTCGACCTCTCGCATGGGCGCTTGCAACACTACCCCTGCTCTAACCTTCCACACATGTGGGGAATCCATCAGATTCTACAACAATTAAGCGAGTGATTGAGCTCAAAATTACTCAGGTAAAAAAGGCTTAACCTTTCGAATTACGAAACCTTCAGTACAGAAAATATAAATTTATTTAGCAAGTAACAGGAATTATAGGTACGAAAGTTGAAAAACCGTGGCAATTCTTAGAAGAATTCATTCTTCTGAAAACACAGTGAACAATAAAAACATAATAAAAACACATAAGCAAGCCTGTACTAGTCCGTCACAATACAACAGCAAAATAATCTCCTACAACTGAGAGCTTAAAATAGTGAACTAGGAGAACTCCCTAGATCCGTTGATCATATATCGCTTGATTAGATCCGTCATTTTCTTCGGAATAACCACATGGGTATAGGAATGTAGGCACCTGGAAAGCCATACAGCAAGAACATGGGAGCAGGTGATACGCTTTTTCCGTTTGATCACTTGGTTCTGGAAGTCTCTGCATGAACAGAAGTTGACATTCGGGAGAAGTTGGTGGGCATTATGGGAGGCTCGCATGGGTGTCACCTCAAAGAAGGACAACTCGGCCGGCGACGATTCAGTTGGTCGAAGTGATGGTGGCTGTACAGAACAATCAATATGTTTACTTTCTTCAGTAGGCAATCGATCCACAGTTTGGAATTGTTGATATCCGGCTCTTCTCGCATTTCTGGGGTTAGTTTCGGGCTCTAACAATCGCACCAAACCGGCTTGCTGCCAACGCAAGGCTTCAAGCATCGTTTTCTTTCCAACCAATCCAGCAAGTGCTTCCAATATCGGAAATGCCGCTTTGATAGACTTGTCCGGCAGATTCTGTAGCTGTGACTGGATCCTTTGCAACAGCTCTTCGAACCGATATGGTACAGCGAAACGACGACAACAGGAAGTAGCATGCCGACGACGTCGACGACGAGCCATGGGAGTGGAAGGTCGAGTCTTTGAACCCGGACTGGGTGCCGCGCTCGCCGCACCCAAATGCGCGCTGCGAGGGAGATTTGAATTTTCAGCGGAAGGTCATTGTAACGGCGGCAAAACCAGTACCGTTGTCGTGGAAATTCGGGACCAGGAATCGCCATGGACCCCTAGGCCACAGCTGTGGAGCTTCTGGTACTGGCATAGAGGTAAGTGATCGGTTTGTCATGACTGAGTTTCTGTTTTCTTCCATGAAAGTCCCACCCTTGACCACACCCGTTAGTGACCTTATGTTTTTTGATGCGCATACGAAAAAAAAAACGCCAAAAGTCGAGGAACCTGAGTTAAATGCACCAAATAAGGTTTTTATTGAAATTTGTGGTCATTTTCACCAAATCCAAGCATCTAAATATTACTGGGAAGGCCCTAGGGGCTTAATTAAGGGGAGAAAGCACAGATTTATATGAAAAATTCCACAGACACCTGTTACCCAGCAAAAATTGCCTTTTGGGATTACACATTACGCTGGTAGGTACTAAGGAAGAAGGAACCAATAAGGTGTACCCCAAATCCCCTTTTGTTAATACCATATACATGAAAGCACTGAAGTTACTGAAACGGAAGTGAAACAAATCGAAATCAGAGAAACCTCCAAAGAGAATTAGCTCAGAAGGCCAGATGTATTCCCTTGCACTCGTTAGGATGAAATCCTGCCATGTTTTCTTACCCGATGTCGCAACGGAACCAATCTTTTGGCCTATCAAGCATGAGACAACACCCTTACCTGCTGCACCCTCTTGAGATGACTACGGTCCAGCATTTCGATTTGTCAGTCGCCTAATTGCTCACGACACTTCCGGATCGTCTGACCATTTCGTATTTCACCCATACTCTTGCTAAGCAGTGTCTTTGGCGAGGTTCCACTCCATCCCAAGCTTCTGAAAGCATTGCCCTTGCCAGCAACCAATGCGCAACTGAAGCAAATGGCATCTTGAATTCCAAGATTTTCTTCCGGTTTGACGCCCCCCTATGTAGCCCTGATGCCACCAGCCCACTCCCAAACCATGTCTTTTAGCTTATGAACGAATTCATCCTCCCAAATCTAGACTAAGCGCAGAATTTCAATGACAGCACGCCGCCAACTGGCCCACGGGTACGGTCCCACTTCAACCATACCTGGGCGCCATTTGGCATGCCGAACTCATCCAAGTTAGGTCGAAAATCAACGTGAAGTATCCCCACTACCAGTTGTCAAACCATCATTTCGCTATACCAAGCCTGCCTGCGGAGTATCTCGAACGGTTTGATTAATGGTGGTCCCTCGACGAGAGAGGGCAGAGAAGTGCACGACGGCAGTAATTACGTCTGAACGACGCTTCCATTATCCGGATTCGCTCAGAAGTTTACTTTGAACTGCTTTTGTTTCTGAGTGTAGCTAATAAGATAGCTAGGGAGGTTTTTTCTTCAATTCTACATTATTATTACAGTGCACTTCTACGAAGTTGGCCAGAAAAAAAGTGCAAAAATACGCTTGTACGGGGAGGGATCTCGTCAACTTTGAAACGATCGGAACACTGAACAAAAGTAGTACCAGCGACAACCAAGAGGATTTTCAGGTGGGTCAACACGCTCCTACGATAGCCAGACCAGTAATATCTCCAGAATACATGTAGATGTCCCATCGATGGCGGAAAGACTTAGCTAATTGCATTTGGAACTAAAGTACCTCCCTTCAACGCTGGACCAAGGGCTTTGGCCGACCACAGATCCCTTCCTGACCATCTTCCAAACTAAATTATTGGTTAGCCCTGAGTTCTGCTGCAAATGGGGAAGGAATGAACGCCTCCATTACATGTTCAGGAG